ATAAAAAAAAAGTTCACATAATTAATGAAAGAAAACTTCCCAAATAGAGGAGAAGAATTTGACATACAGATAAATGAGGCATATAAGACTCCAACTAGCCATGATTTAAAAAAAAAATCTACACTTAGACATATAATAATCAAGATCCAGGAAACCCAACAGAAGAACAAAATACTACAAGCAGATAGAGAAAAGAAACAAATCATAGGCAAAGGAAAGCCCATCAGAATCAGAATCACAGTAGACTTTTCAACACAAACCCTCAACTCAAGGAGAACCTGGACTGAGGTATTTCAAGTCCTAAAAGAAAACAACCTCCAACCTAGACTGATGCATCCTGTGAAGCTATCTTTCAAAATTGATGGGGAAATAAGGTACTTCAACAACAAAGAACACCTGAGAAATTTCATGAACACCATTGGCACTCCAAATACTTCTGAACAATATCCTGGAAAAAGACAGTGAGGGCCACACTCCATAAGGGCCAACAGAGCAAATAAGCAGGCAAGGCAAGAAATTAAAGAGGGGGAAAAATAAAAAGTAAAAGAAGCAACAACAGGAAAATAACATGACAATGGAAAGTTAATACATAACACTTATAATCATCAATGTTAATAGCCTCAATTCATCAATCAAAAGAAATAGGCTGGCAGAATGAATTAAGAAGCAAAATCCAATGATATGCTGTATACAAGAAACCTGCTTAATCCACAAAGAAACTCATGGACTGATAGTAAAAGGATGGAAAACAGTTCTTCATGTAGCAGGAGCCTGGAAAAAAGAGGAAGTAGCTATCTTATTTGCAGACAGAATGGATTTCAAACCAAAACTAATTAAGAAAGACAAAGAAGGCCACTACATCCTTGTAAAGGAAACAGTACAAGAGGAAGAAATCACAGTCATAAATATATATGCACCAAATATTAATGCCCCCAACTATACAAAACAAATATTAATGGATATGAAAAACAAAATAAGCACTAATACAATTGTAGTGGGGGACCTCAATACTCCACTGACACAAATATACAGATAATCTAGACAAAAAATTAACAATGAAATAACAGAACAAAACCAAGTTTTAGAACAAATGGACATAGGAGATGTCGACAGAGTATTCCACCCCACAAAATCAGAATATACATCCTTTTCAGCTGCACAATGGTTATTCTCCAAAATAAACCAAATGCTATCTTAATAACATGCTTAAGTAAATGCAAAGGAATGGAAGTTATTCCCTGTATACTATCAGATCATGGTGCAATTAAATGGGAGATGAATAGCATAAGAAACCACAAGAACTTCACAAACACAGGGAAATTAAATCAACACTGATGAACAACCACTGGATCACAGAGGAAATTAAAGAAGAAATTAGAGAGTTTCTACAATTAAATGATAATGCCAATACAACATATGGGAATCTATGGAGCACAATGAAAGCAGTTTTATCAGGGAAATTCATAGCAGTGAAGGCCCATACTAAGAAAACAGAGCAAGCTCAAATGAACAACCTAATGATGAATCTTAGACTCCTGGAAAAAGAAGAGCAAGAGAATCCCAAAGCTCATAGAAGAGAGCAAATTACAAAGATTAGACCAGAAATCAATGCAATGGAAATTAGGAAAATGATACCAAAAAATCAATGAATGGAAGAGTTGGTTTTTTGAAAGAATGAATAAAATTGATAAATCCTTAGCCAACCTTATCCAAAAAGGAAAGAAAAGGCTCAAATTCATGCAATTATGAAGGAAAAAGGTGAAGTCACAACAGATCCACCAGAAATCCAGAGGATCATCAATGCCTACTTCAAAAGTGTGTAATATAATAAAATGGAAAATACAAAAGAAGTGGACAGATTCCTAGATACATATGAACTTCCAAAGTTGAACAAAGAAGATATAAAAATTCTAAACAACCCAATTACATTCAGTGGAATTGAAAATATAATTAAAACGTTGCCAACAAAGAAAAGTCAAGGTCCTGATGGCTTTACTGCTGAATTCTAGAAGACATTTAGAACTATCACCACTACACTTTAAACTCTCCAATGAAATTGAAAGGAAAGCAATACTTCCAAATTCACTCCTGGAAGCAAGTATTACTTTGATTCTAAAACCAGGGAAAGACCCAACCAAAACAAAAAGAACTACAGGTCAATCTCCCTAATGAACATAGATGCAAAAATCCTCAACACAATACAGGCAAACAGAATACAGAAGATCATCAAGAAGATCATACACCCTGACCAAGTCGGATCTATAACTGGGATGCAAGGATGGTTCAACTTATGTAAATCAATAAATGTAATACACTATTTTAGCAGAGTTGAGGAAAAAAACCATATAATCAGAGGCAGAAAAGGCATTTGACAAAATTCAACACCCATTCATGTAAAAAAAACAACCTACAGAAAATTGGAATAGATGATCTTTATCTCAACCTGGTAAAGGCTGTCTATGAAAATCCAACAGTCAATATCAAACTAAATGCTCAAAAACTGAAAACCTTCACAAGAAAATCAGGAACAAGACAAGAATGTCCACTATCACCACTGTGTTCAATATAGTTCTAGAAACATTAGCCACAGAAATTAGACAAGAAAAAGAAATAAAAGTAATAAAGATAGGAAAGGAAAAAGTTCAACCATCACAATTTGCTGATGATATGATACTGTACATAGAAGACCCCCCAGAAAAGACTCTGCCAAAAGACTTAAATGACAAATTCAGTAGAGTAGCTGGATAGAAAGTCAACATGCAAAAATCAATAGCCTTCTTGTACATAAATAACAGACTCACTGAGAGAGAAATTAGGGAAACAATTCCTTTCACAATATCCTCCAAAAAATGAAATATCTTGGAATCAATCTAAGGAAGGAGACAAAAGATTCAAAATTACAACACTCTGAAAAAAGAGATAGAAGAAAATATAACAAGATGGAAAGATATCCCTTGCTCGTGGATAGGAAAAACAAACATAGTGAAAATGGCCATACTTCCAAAACTTGAGAAAACAATCCAAAAATTCATTTGGAGCCAGAAGGTACTAGAATAGCAAAAACCATTCTAGGCAACAGAGACGTAGCAGTGGGTATCACAATTCCAAACTTGAAACTATATTACAAGGCCACTGTGATAAAATCACAGTACTGGCAAAGAAATAGACCTGAGGATCAGTGGAATAGATTGCAAGATGCAGAAACAACACCAGACATACTCAGCTACATCCTCTTTGACAAAGGAGCCAACCATCCTCACTGGAGGAAAGAGAGCCACTTTAATAAATGGTGTTGGAAAAACTGTCTTTCAGCTTGCCAAAGATTAAAACTAGATCCCTATCTGTCACCATGCACTAAGCTAAAATCCAAGTGAATTAAAGATCTAAACACCAAAACAGAAACATTAAACTTATTGGAAAGTAATTTGGGTAGAACTCTTGAAGACATTGGCATAGAGGAAGATTTTATGAAAAAATCCTCTGTAGTACAAGAACTTGCAAAAAGAATTAAAAATGGGATCTCAATGTATCAAAAAGTTTTTCAGTGAAAGCGAAACCACCAACAGAGCTAAGAGACAACCTACAATGTGGGAAAAACTTTTTACCAGATGCTCCTCCGACAAAGGACTACTATCTAGAATATATAAAGAACTCAAAAAAAATCCAGAGCCCCCAAATACAAAGACCTGATTCAAAAATGGGTATGTGAAATGAACAGACATTTCTCAGACAAAGAAGTAAAGCAGCAAATAAATATATGAAAGAATGATCAACATCACTGGTCATTTGAGAGATGCTGATGAAAACAACACTAAGATTCCACCTTACCCCAGAAACAATGGCTGCTACCAACCATTAACAAATGCTAGTGGGGCTAGGGGGAAACAGGAACACTTCTCCATTGTCAGTGGGAGTGCAGACTGGTGCAACCACAGTTGAAATCAATATGGAGATACCTCAAAGAACTAGGATTAGAGGTCCCATTAGACCCAGCTATTCCTCTGCTGGGTATCTTCCTAAAAGAATTAAAGGATTCATACCACAGTGATATATATGCGCACCCATGGTTATAGTGGTACAGTTTGTAATAGCTAAAACTTGGAAACAACCCAAATGCCCATCAACTGGAGACTGGATAAATAATATGTGTTTTTCTATAAATGGAGTACTACTCATCCATAAAGAATGAGAAAGTAGAGATATTTATAGCTAATTGGATGCACATTAAGGCTATACTCTTAGTTGCTCTGATGTGAAAAATTAAAAGAGTAAAAAAGTTTCAAATGGTACAACTGATAGTGTGAAATAAGAAGAAAATAGCTAAAGGGGAAGTGGGAAGGGTAGGTGAAAGGAAATAAGGGAAAAATTGTGAAAAAATGGAAACAAAGTCTTTTTAAATAGGGAAGGGTGAAGGGGGTGAAGGGAGGGAAGGAGTATGGGGAAAAAATTAGAACCAAGACATATCACGTAAAGGTACAAGATCCCAATGATAAATGTTAGTGTATTGTTTGCTTTAAATGTGCCAATAAACTTAATGGAAAAAAATTATTTCTCAACATTTTACACATTTAGTATGAGTGCATTGAGAACTTTTTAGGACTTCTGACTAATCAGTCACCATCTGAAACCTGCTGGCCACTGTGGAAAAGAAAAATAGGCTGGCAAGTGGTGTATTTTCATAAGCAATCTAACATTCATCTCATAAGTAACACTTGTAGATGAAAATTAAGGAATTTTTCCCCCCAAAAAAAAACACTTTTTCCCCATTTAAACAAAGTACAAAGCTATCCTGTGCATAAAAGGCAAAAACTAATACATGAAAACAATGAAGGAATCAACAATCATGTAAACCTCTGTAATTAAAATTTTATATTAAATATTTGGCTTTTGGAAATTAACGGTGCTTTCCCCAGTACTGTACTGTGTCTCCATCAATTCTATCATCCAACTGAAAAACACGTCCAATAACAAGTTTGAGATGAGGAGCGAAACAATCATTGTTAGGAGAATGTTTTCCTCCTTGAAAGCTGTGCGGCGAGGGCTTCCTTCACGTCTTTATTTCTCAGGCTGTAAATCATGGGGTTTAGCATGGGAATCACTGTGGTGTAGAACACAGCCACCACTTTCCCTTGCTCCACAGATTCCTTGGATGGGGGCCTGAGGTACATGACAAAGAGTGTCAGGTAGAATATGGTGACAGCGGTCACGTGGGAGCCACAGGTGGAGAAAGCTTTGTGTCTGCCTGTGGTGGAACGGATCCTCAGGATTGCGCGGAAAAGGAAAAGGTAGGAAAGAAGAATGGTGAACAGGGAGAAGGACAGGTTACACCCGGCCACAACGAACATGGACGTTTCTTTCTTGTAGGTGTCGGAGCAAGCCAGCTTGATGAGCGGGGGGTCAGCGCAGTAGAAGTGGTTGATTTCATTGGGGCCACAGAAGGACAGGCTGTAGGTCCACATGGTCTCCATGAGGCCGGTGAGCGCCCCATACACATAGGGCACCAGGATGAGCCCCAGGCACACGCGCTTTGACATCTTGCTGCCATAGAGCAGCGGGTTCCCGATGGCCAGGTACCTGTCAAAGGCCATCACAGCCAGGATGTACAACTCCACGATGACCAAGGCGATGAACAAGTAACACTGCAACAGGCACGCAGGGTAGGAGATGGTTTTCTTCTCTGCGAGGAGAATCTCCAGCATCTTTGGAGTCACATTGGAAGAGAAGCAGAGATCCACGAAGGACAGGTGGCTAAGGAAGAAGTACATGGGTGTGTGGAGCCGGGCACTGACCTGGATCAGGACAATCATGCCCACATTCCCCAGCACCGTGACCAGGTAAACAGCCAGGAACAGCAGGAAGAGGAGAAGCTGCAACTCCCGGAGGCTGGTCAGGCCCAGGAGGACGAACTCCGTCACGGCTGTAAAGTTTCTTAGCATCCTTTTCCTTCACCAGGAAATGAGAACTTTAGATCGGCATAGACCTCCTATTAAATGGTTAAAATTCTTCTATTTTCTTAGTACTTGTTTTGCTTTCATCTTTGCATTTTTTCCTTTTCTGTGACTTAACTTTACCTCTGCAGACACTAGAATGCAAGATTTAATTTGAACAGTGTCTACGTCAACTAGGTGGCAATGCATTTGAACTACAGGTTTTTTTTCTTTAATAATTGCCCTCTTTTCTGTTTTTGTCTACTAAAATGGCCTAAAACTAAACTTCTTGAGCATGTATCCATTTATTTTATCTACACTTTACATCTTATTTAACTTCATACCAATTTTTAATTCTGAGATTTTTCTACATTATATGAATAAACACTTGTAAACTCTACACTTACTTAAGTGAAGTTTCCAAACAACAAGGACAGAATCCTGTGGGAAAAAAAATCTCTTCCTGATAATATTTATTTTTCCCAGTTATGCCAGGTAAAATCCCTTAGTTTCTTTGTTTAAATGCTCTCAATGATAAATTTAAAATGTATGTTAATTCACTATTTGTAAGACATAAATGAAGCATGTCCTATTACATAATGAATAGCTGTTATTTTGGGAGAAAGTAGAAGAAAAGATAAATTCTTGAACAAGTACACATCTTACAGGAAAGCTTTCAGGAAGTCTAACATTCTTCTCATCAATTCAGTCTACTTTAGACAATCCAAACTTTTCAGAGCGTTGGCCCTGAATCAGTGTGCAGAAGGGACTAATTTTAGGATGCTAGCCTACAACTGTGAAATCTGAGCTAGAAAAGGCAAGTGATCATCTAAACAAGACTGGGATTTCACAGTGTGGACTAGAAGCCAACAGCAACTAGGCCCAAGTTTACCCTTCCAGGCCAGACCATGCCTTTACGAGTGAGTTCTTGGAAGAAAGAAAAGGAAAGCTAGGAGAAAAAGAAAAAGAAAAAAAAAACATGATGACAGTAAGTTTCTTTTTCTTTGCTTATTCACAAACTGTATTTGCTTCAGTGAAATGGCAAGTTCTGGCTGAGAGAATTTTTATCTGTTGATTTACAACAACTTCCTTTGTTTGCCCCCTACTGGCTGTGATGGAGACAGAGTGGAGCCCTCCTGACTCAAAAGCTAAGAGAAACCACAGATGGCAGAACCATCAAACTGAATTAGCCAAACCTTCTCCATTCTCAGAGGACCTGAATCCACATGCCAGCTCAGAATACTGCATGAATGGAAATAAGCTTCTATTTTGTTTCAGTGCCTGTCATTCTGTTTGCTTTCACAGGGACTGAACCTTTTATCTACTGATACACTTTGGGATCAGTGCCCAAGATCACTACAAGGATGATGTGTGTGGAAGATTAAACTTTATAAAATGATGACTGTTGGTTAGAGTTGAATTAGAGTTGTGGTCAAGAACTGTAGCGTGACTTAAAGCATGTGCTATGCTTGGATGAGCCTGGTGTCAACTGCGTGAGACATTTTAAAGTTTCCCTAAACCTTCTTTCCATCCATTTCATTGCATATAACATTCTAAAATGTTCACTAACGTGCAGACACAATGTTTCCCAGTTCTATGGAAGGAAGGTGAATCATACAAGTTTTAAGAAATAAAAGTTGAAATTAAAATACTAGACAAATATACTCTTTAAATTCATCACCTGGCTGCTATCTATGGAGGATTTTTCACTGGAAATTTTATTTCACTGAATCTCTGGCCTCATAATGCCCCTCTGTTTTCTCTTGTTTCTACTCCCTTCTTGTTTCTTACCTCCACCTTCCTTTACTTTTTCTTGATATGAGCCAAAAATTTCCTTTGCTTTCTCCATATTACTCTGAGTCATCCACTTTTTCCTGGCTCTTATTCTCAAACTCAGCCTGAGGTCCATCCTTGTCTGTGTACATTAAGATGTTTTGTGAAAGTAAAGGTTTTGAATATAATAGTAAACAGGACTGTTAGAAGGATAGCGATACTCTATCATCTATCCATCTCCCTGATATCTCTTCCTCCTCTCCTCTTTACTATAAATGCAAATCTGACTCTGCATCTTATCTATATCCAGACAGAATAATACTGACATGTATGTAAACATGCGTGAGTACATGTGCAGAGAGATACGTGCATACAATTTTAAATTGTACCAGTATGCATGCATGTATTTTCCAGAGGATAGTAGCGTACCTCTCTTGCTTTTTCTCATTCCCTAACATAGAACACTAGACCATCATGTGCACTGTTCTGTGCATGCATGAACATCCTAACATCCCACCTTCTTTTTTAAAAGTCTACCAAGATATGCGGGTACTGTCCAAGACTTTAACATTTTGTCTTTAAATATTTCTAGTAATCGGCACTAATATTTATCTCACAAGATCAATTGAAAAATTTTGAATTTGGTAAATTTGGCTTAAAAATTATGCCTGTGCTAGAGATTATCTCTCCACAACTGTAGATAAATTGCATGAATTCTGTGAACATTGGGATTTCTTACCTTAAAATATTGTTGCAGGGGTTTTCCTTGAGGATTAAAAGTTGTAATGTATGTAGAGATCTAACAGTGTATGAAACACATGCATACATCACAGGAAATTTCAGTTTCTTTTTCCTCTTTGTTTAATCTTTAGAACAAGTGGAAATTCTCAGATTTTCAGCATTAGTCTTACACATAAGGCCAACAGCACTTTTTCTGTGCAATCTTTTAACTATTTGTAACTACACACTCATTCCTACCAAGTAAATGTTTGTATTCCAATTCTAAAGGCAGCACTTTTACTAGTTCCTAACATACCCCCAAAATATAGGCAATACTTCCAAAAGGATACAGAGATGCAACCTAGGAAGAAGTAGAGAGAATCTAGGGGTCTTCAAGGTTAATAAGGGAAAACAAATTTCCTTGTATTTATAAGGTTGACTGCTTTTCCCAATTGCATGTTTTAAAATAAAGATGAAATCATCAGTTCCACCAATGAAGCGCTCCCTGAAGGCAGCTCAGACACTTTTAGCGCAGGAGTTAGATGTAATTTCACATCCCTGGTGGGTCTCCTGCATTTCTCTGTGTAACGACCTTCCTTCCCATGCCTCTGTCTCATGAGGCACCCCGCTCCCCACCACACTCCTCACTCAGTGGAAACGGCTGCATTCTTACAAAAGGGACTTCCCTCCCTTGCCCAGTACTGCAGCTGTGGCACCTCCCGACCCACGGCACACGGCAGGGAGGGTGCATTTATGTCAAAGCCAGAATCGTCACTTGTTTCGGCCTTTGCTTTTCTTATCCCATCATGGTTGGTTTGGAGAAAACTCTGAGAACAAATGAAGGGAATCAGAGAATAAAGAATGACATGAATTGACGTAATTTCTTTTCCAAATTCTGTATTTACATAAGGGTGACAACAAGAGATGAGACCATCTGTTAGGGCTCCTTTAGAAGCTTCTAGATGTGAGCTTGAATCCCAAGTCTTGAGCTCATTCTGTTCTTTCACCATATTGAGCAGTGACATTAGGAGCAACCTATCGATATCATTATGTTTCTTATTTTTCCAAAATATTCAAAAGAATCAATATTGATGGCTTAGGGCCTTGTATCCTATAAGTGGCTGATTACAGGAATCCAGGGTACACAGTTTATATATCTCTTTAAATGTTTGTTCAGTGGGTGGATGATCAATGTTCTCTTTACTGTGTGAGATATGCGTATTAGCATTTTTAAAACTAGCTAACAAGGCAATTCCAGAAAGCACAGAACTTATTCAGAAAACTCATTCTTAGTATATGGATCCTCTAGAACCACTCTCAGCTACCAAATCTGTATTTCCAAGGGTTCGGCAAAGAAATGCAGCCCATAGGAGATCACATATATATAGAGAGAGAGAATAATATATACTATACTGCATACATATAATATGTATTACATATATATTGAATATAAGATAGATAGATAGACAGATAGATAGATAGATAGATATAGATAGACAGACAGACAGACAATTGTTATGGAGATTGACTTATGCAACAGTGAAGCCCAATGTGCCCTGAAAACTGGAAAACAAGGAAGGCCCATGGGATAGCTCAGTCTGAATCCAAAGGCATAAAAACTAGGGCAACCTACTCTTGATGTGAGTGTAAGCGCTGAGAACAGGAGCACCAACATCTGGGGCCACAATATGGATGCTCGCCCTCAAACAGAGTGGGCAACTGTGCCTTCCTTTTGGTGCTCTGTTCTCTGCTGGCCTTCTGTAGACAAGCTAAAGCTGACCCACCGGACGAGAAGGGTGTCTTTGTTCACTCTACTGCCTCAAACGTTAACCTCTTCCAGAGAAACATTCACAGACACACCCAGAAATGATGCTTTATCGACCACACAGCATCCCTCAGCCCAGTCAAATTCACACATAAAATTCACCATTGTGTTCCTATTTTCCAACAGTGTACTCTTCTTTCCATTTGTTTCAAAGCAGAGGCACAAACAAACAGGGCAGATCACATTTTTATTTTGATTCCTTCAATGAGGTGCTATTTCCTCACTATATTTCTGATAGAATTAAAAAAAAACAGTGATCTCTTCTAGTATAACAGAGTAGAAAATTCCAAGTTTGCCAGTGAAATATAAATTCGCCAGTACTGCACATGCCTAAGCTTATTCTGAAGGCGCAGCTTGGCCCATGTAGAAATCCAATTTTCTTTGGTTTGAGTAGCCACAGGGTAAAAGCCTACAGCGAGGCTCTAGAGAAAACAAATGGGAGTCCACACAAGGCTGTGCATGTTGGTCATGGCAGACGCACAGACATGGAGCACTTTGAACTCGATGATGCAAGTACAGGAAGAGTGAATGACCATGCACATGTGATAGCCATGCTTTATGTAGAGCAGAGACAGGGACGGAAGAGGGACAGGACAGGGTACAATGACAGAACATTGAGTCAACAAGAAGGCAACCATGCCATACTGTTCAAATAAGTTGAGTAAAAAACACAACTTTTCAAGCAAAAGTTTAATTACAATTTGTAGGCTTTGAAGATTGGTTAAAAGATTTCCTGAATGTGTGATTTGTGTGTCCAAATTTAGCACAATTAAGTGAACATGTACTATTAGAGACAAGACAGAGAAGGCAAGCTGCAGCACTGGACAGCTGGTCCACCGCAGGAGGCTAAATTCTTTCTCGTGGGCCTGATTTATTCTGAACATTTCCAGAAGCAATCTTCTGTTTAAAGAAATGAAAACAGGGATTAATCATGAAAAAATTATGCACATTGAAGATTCCATTAGTATATTTTATATTTTATAGAAATAGCTCCTTTCTTCATACTACCGTTATAATCTCTACTTCCTGTTTTCTATCTTTTATCTATGGCCCTTTTTTGAACACAAGCTAGGTACCAGGATCATTGATAAAAAATAATCACTCTCATAACATCATTTCTTACCTTGTGGGATATACAGTGTCATAGAAGATATGATCTTTTATTATATTCAAAAATATAAATGCAAGGAAAGAAATTATAGAAATGTATAAAATAGGTGGAATGCGTTTTCAGTTAATAATTTATATCTAACATATATTTAGTGAAAACTTTGTACGCGAAATCGTCTTCGTGCTTTGCAAATATTAATTCATCTCATAGCATCTCTATGCAAAAATTCCACATCTCCAGTACCGTCATTAACAAGGGGAAGATTCTGAGGCAGAGTGAGTTTCAGTAAAATCCCAGTAAATCTGATTTCAGAATTCATGCACTTAATGTCCATGTGGCTAATAAATGATGGAGTCAGAATCTAACCACAAAGCTTATTTGTTGAACAAGTTGAATGTGTCTATACCTTATGAAATAGGATCATTTTTCATCATGGATTGCATGTTTTAGTATGTGAGCAGCTGTCAAACACTTGATCAACAACAACTTTGACATACAGAAAATGATTATATTATTCATTACAGGGCTTTTTGTTCAAATATAGTGTGGAAATATATATTATGATGTAGGGAACTATAAAAAAGTTTGAAACCAGACAGATATAAACCTCCCTTTTGATTGATGTGATTTTATATTTATAAAGAGACTGTTACTGTCAGCTTCCTCGTGTTTAAAATGGATATCACAATACTGAACCCGTAGTTTTGACAGGCAGAGAAAGAGATACAACATACATTAAAACAATGCACAAGTTTTGATAATTATTTATTTCTCTTCTTTCATGTGCCACTGTATCTAAACATTCTTCAAATATCCTTTGGTCACTGGAAGGTGTTTGTTATCTGAACAAAGATATTAGTCTCACAAAATCACAATTCCCTAGAACATTTCTTAATATACATGGCTAAGTTTTCCTTGAAGAAATAGCAATTGAAGTGATGACCTTTTAGTTATGTGGGAAAATTATAAACTCTTTTATGATAATTACTGTTTCTTAGGAGAGTATCATAAATATCTTCCAACTTGTTCTAGGTTCTTCCTTCACTATACCGTACAAGTTGCTCAATAAATAAAAACTCTAAAAGAATCAACTTTAAAAGGGGAAGAACTTGGACTTTAGACTGTTCCTGAGATCTCACATAGCAGACTTCAATAAGGGAGCTTTTTAAAAAAGTTGTTGGTAAGGGAATAATGCCATAAATTTTAGATAAAATGATTTATTAAAATGATTTATTAAAGAAAAATGAGTGAGTGCTTCCTTAGCCTATGTCCGTCGCAGTACAATGTGGGTCACAGATGGTCTCCACAGGCTGATGTCTTTACTCCAACTACCCAGTCCATTCATCCCAGTACTTGATGCAATTTATTTACCTTAACCTCATGTGTATGTGGGCATAGCTGTGAGTTTAATATTTGATGAATCAGTCATCGATGTCAAGAACACTTTGTTCACTCGTATTTACTTCTGAAAAGCATCAAAGCCTATGACCCATCGTGTATTTCCTCAGAGCCATCAGTTAGTCCATTCAAAGACAATCATTTTCCCTGTCCTACTGTGGAAACACTTGTCCTCTGTGACTGTGGACATTTGTTAAGTTTTTTAATGCTTCATTCATTACTGAACCTTGATTTTGAGTTACACTAGGATGTAAGAATGAGGCCTGGACCCAGAGATCAAAAGACTGGAAGAATAAAAGGGGCTGTTTTTGCAAAATTAAATATGTGTGGAGATTTAAATAGCAATATCCAACTATGTGTATGTATTTTAGTAGGATCCAATAAATGCTTAAATGTATACATTTAGAAAAATAGTAACTCAGCAAATGTTTGTCAATTTTTCTTATATTATGCGATTTCAAAGCCACCAGAAATGTTATGGCTTTAACAGTCCTCCTGTCATGTGAGCATTAACATATCAGAAAGAGTTTAATACTTTGCATTCTAAAATTAGATGTATACTAACCAATCAGGGCAAGGAAGAGCTGCGGGTAAAATTGAAACTGTGATACCAATAGCAAATCACAGATCCATCTGAAAAAAACATAGCTTATTAGAGATGAGAAAAGCATGTAGCACTTTCTCCCTACAAGTGTAGATATTACTGACAATCTCAACAGGAGTCACTGTTATTTGAGGACACTGATGCAATTTTCTAAGAGCCTAATCCAGAGATAAATAACTGAAAACAACGTTTGGGGCTCTCTTGTGATGGGAGGAGTAAGGTATCTTATGGAAAGTGATTTCCACAGTGGGACAAAGCCAGTGGATGTCAGGCATTGCCAGGCAGGTGTTAAAATAGATTTCCTGTCCTATAGGTGACAGCAAGTTTTGTCAGCACATGTGGGAACATTTGTCAAAAACACAGATTGAAGCCCCATATAATAAACCTACAGAATGATATACTATTAAAAATCAAGTACTGGCAGGGTGCATTTTTAAAATTTTGCATACATATGTACATATTATATAACCACATATATGTTGTTTGATGTGCAATTTTTTCTGAAAATTTAAAAAAAAGATAATAAAGTAACTGCCAAGTGAGAACGGAAGGGTATGGAAAGAAATATTTTACTCTTATATTGTACCCTTCCAAAAAGGTTAGCTATTTTACAACAAAAACATATACATTTTATAATATAAGGACAATGTATAAAGCTTCAGTGTAAAATTTTATAATGACTAATTTACCATAGGGACCTATACGGTTTGCCATCTTTCATGCATACATGACATTTAGGTCTCACACAGTTATAAAATATTTGTATATTTTGTTTTATTGTTATAGATTTTCATCATGAATATAAATTAGCTTTACTATAAATTCTACTAAGTTGGATAAAGTGCTCACAAGTAGATCTTTAATTTATGAAGGGAGATTCTCAGTGATTTTATTTGGAAAGCGCATTTCTTCTGATCAGTTTTCGAAAAGCTTGTTTCACATCCTTGTTCCTTAGACTATAGATGATGGGGTTCAGCATAGGGCTGACGAACGTGTAGAAGACAGCAATGACCTTGGACTGCTCCACGGACTTGTCCGTGGGAGGCCTCACGTACATGCAGAACAGGGTCCCGTAAAACACGGTCACTGCCGCCAGGTGGGACCCGCAGGTGGAGAAAGCTTTGCGCCTGCCCTCGGCAGAGCGCATCCTCAAGATGGCAGTGAGGATGAACAGATAGGAGACGAGAATGATGAGGAGGGAGGTGGAAAGGTTAAACCCTGCTACCACAAACATAGACGTTTCCTTAATGAAGGTGTCTGAGCAGGAGAGGCGGATGAGGGGTGGGTCAGCACAGTAGAAGTGGTTAATGACGTTGGAGCCACAGAAGGTCAAGCGATAGGTCCACATGGTCTCCATCAGGCCACTGAGGAACCCATAGACGTAGGGACCAGCGATCAGGCGCGCACACACTCCTTTGGACATCTTGCTGCCGTAAAGCAAAGGGTTGCAGATGGCCACGTACCTATCATAGGCCATCACGGCTAGCATATAATATTCAGTGATCACCATGGCAATGAAAAAATAGCACTGCACTAAGCAGGCAGAATAGGAAATGGTTTTCTTCTCTGCTAAGAAGTTCACCAGCATCTTGGGGGTGACATTGGTGGAATAGCACAGATCCAAGCAGGACAAGCTGGCAAGAAAGAAGTACATGGGAGTGTGTAGGCGGGGATCCACTCGGATCAGGACCATCATCCCAAGGTTCCCCCCAACGGTGATCAAGTAGATCACCAGGAACAGCACAAAGAGAACAGGCTGAAGCTCCGGGTGATCCGTCAATCCCAAGAGAATAAACTCAGTCACCAAGGTGGAATTTCCTTTGATTGTTCTCCTAGGTACCAGCATGCTCACTTAGCTGACTTAAAATGAAGTAAGACGGTGAATCAGACATCTAGTGATTTCTTTTCTTTTTCTCCAATTCTCTGTCTGTCTGTAGCTTCAATTCTCACTCACCCTCACACTATTAGAGTCAGAGAAGGTAGGGGGAGATTGTCTTAAGGGGTCATGATCTCCATTAGCTCAATGCACTGTTCAGATGGCTCCTAGAGGGAGTGGCTCATTACAGAGATAGGTGCCCAGGTGTAATCCTGGGTCAGTGGTAGCAAGTATTTGCAAAGCATTTCTGCAGTTACAGTGTGTCCGTATTTACAAGCTTCACCTTTGAAAATTTACCTCTCCCTATACCGAGTTAGCCCAGAATTAGAGGGGTCTGAATGAATTTCTCCAGGGTCTGTTGCACTGTTATTTCTGTAAGATCTGGATTTCCATTTCTGCGGGAGCAGAGCAAAGATTTTCAACTCCGGAATAACAAAGACATACTATGTGTGAATTGCTGCATGTGACTCAAAATGGAAGGAATTTTGCTCAAGGAGTGTGTGTGCTTAAAACAAGAAGACAGGGGTAAAGGGAAAAGACGCAATCAAGTCTTTGGTGCTAATCTCATTTTCTCATCTCTTTACTATTTTTCACTTCCCCTAGGAAGCATGTAAGGGTGTCACAGCATATAACAAACGTCGGCAGATTTGTGCAGTGAGTGGAACCGGAACAGAAATCTAACTCTCAGCTTTCTAGCCATAGCAGAAATAGTCCAGCCTGTTCATTATAACAATATAATGCCCAGGATTACAAAGCAAATCTAGCTAGGGAGACAGAACTCTGTTTAGTACAGAGTTAGCACATAACTAATTATAGTGAACTGATCATACTTTCGGCAAACAATACCAGTGCAGAAAACATCAATAATAATAAGAGAATACATCTGGAAATTGTTTGGCTAGAATTCTGAACAATGTATTCTCATTATGAATTCTCAAAAAATTTTTATTAATGATGTATAAAATAGGACAAGGGACCGAAACTCAACTGTCCTTTGGAACCACATGGCTAACAAGAATGAGTGAAGTGTACGGTGTAAGAGTCAGAAGAGAGGAATTAGGAGTGCTTCCCAGTGGACAGAATAGCAACGGCTCTCACTGTGGGGCACAGCGTTTGCTGTGTGCTTCTGTGAAAGCCATGTTTTAAGGCAAAGATGGAGAATCCATGAGCACACAAGCCCAAGGGCAGCACAGCCCTCTCTGTGCACCAGCGAGTCACCCCAGCAGTCGAGTATCAGACAGCAGTTGGTTTTCTTTGTTTTCTAAATTAAAAGCGCAGTGTTGAGGTTTAATTGCAGGGCTGACAGCTGGACATTAGGGGTGTGGTTTGGGCATTCATCTCTTAAAGGTTCACCATCCATCACCATTTTAAGGGCTTAACAAAGTCCAATTTTAAGTACTATGACTTTATGTGAGATCTACTAAAACTAGGGTTGCAATCAATTCTAGCTTTCAACCTATCGTTTTTGTTGTTTTGTTGTTGTTGTTGTTTTGGGGTTTTGGGGGTTTTGTTTTGTTTTGTTTTGGTACCGGGGATTGAACTCAGGTCCTTGTGCTTGCGAGGCAGGTGGCAGAACCACTGAGCTAAATCCCTGGCCCATCAACGTATTTTTAATAAGAGCACGAAACAGAAGTCTGTAGTTCTTGTCTATGATATAAATAACAAGTACATGTAATGCTAATGTCACCACCTGCATACTACCAAAGAGGACTCTGTTCATGAGAACTGCACCAAATAGAAACATGAATTAGCCACTGTCACTCTATGACACTTTCAGTATGTGAACGAATTAATTTTTAAATAAGACAATCTTTTCCAAACAACATGCACTCAAGGTCTTACAGGACTGTGAAGAAAATAAAAATAACTTGTCTTGAAAGTACTTGTTTTGAAAGAGCCAATTAGAAACCTTATGGTAAAGATGATAAAATTTACAGTTAAATTTCATTAATTCAATAGAAAAACTTGAACAAAATTGTCTCGGGAATTGGAATGGCCTCAAACAATAGCAACATTTAACCAGGGTCTGAATAATCACTAGGACTTTTCTGTGCAGAAAGAAGTGTGGAAAGACTTCCAGGTGATGCGAACAGCGCATGCAACTATCATGAGAAAGACTTTCATGAGAAATCAAAGGCTTTCCACATAGGTGCAGGTATGATTTTATACCATGACAAGTAAAACTTTTAAACGTGAGAGTCAGTCAGTCTTAAAGTTCCCATCACTGTTTGCTCTCCAGTCTACCATCACTAGAAAGATTGTCCATTAGACATTTACGTAAGCAGCCACAAAATGTACCTGCTGTGACCCTCAGCATTTTCTAACTCTTAGTCTAATAGACAATGTCAAGCAGCTCGTGTCAAAGCAGTAGAGAAACGAATGAACCAGTTTTGTAACAGTCATGAATATCTGTTCTTTTTATAAGAAATAACACTCAGAAAAATAACTCACCTGTACAGTGGGAGGAGAGCCTTGTAAAGAAAGGTTTTGCTATGGCCCAGGTTTCCTGTCTGAAATTTCTGCGCAATTGGGACTCAGTGTGTACTGTAATGAGCCTTTGGACAACTACACTTACTGTTAAAACACTCAGTGGAAATGGAATTCTACCTAAAAATGTTATATTTCCTTTCTGTGGATAAAAATGATCAACTGTAAACTAGATGATAGAATTAACAGATTTGGTCACTTCATTGATTTTGATTCATCATGATTTTATAT